AACTGATTATCATTTTCATTATTAGCATTATTATTATTAATATTCTTATTCTTCTTCTTATTATTATTATTAATATTATTATTATTAATATTATCACAAATAACGTATGCATGAAGATTATTATTAATATTATTGGTACTTTCATATTAAATATTATTAATAATATTCTTCTTACTATTGAGAAGACTGAGGCAGGCTCAATAGATTGTATTTGGCAAATTTACACTCTTAGTCAATTAAAAACGATAACATTACATTGAACACTCCATTTGCACACCATCTTTGAGTCCTGACTTCCAACGCTCCAGCCTTCCTCCATTCCTGCTGTTGCTTCCTTTACTTCCTGTCGGTGCTCTAAATCTTTCTTGCTTTTGCTCTATTTGCTTTCCGTTTTCCTCTTCTGACCGTAAGACATCTTCTTTCACGTCCATTCTTATACTACTTATATCGTTCGTATAAGTAGCACACACCACACTCGTCCCCCCTTTAACAAGTCGCTCTCTCAGCCTTTCTGATCTCCGTACAGCCGTCTTCTTTATCAGTGTTTGTGGCTCGCCCTCTTGGCGCACTTGGAACCACCTTTGGAGTTCACTGGCATTCACGCGTTTCTGTTTGTTTCCTTTCTGGATTGTATACACTGCGCCGCGCCTCTCGGTTACTACGTACGGTCCCTCCCACTTCGGGATCAGCTTACCTGACCCTGGCCCTCTTCCTGTGGTACATTTCCGTTCTCTACACTTCACTTGGTCTCCCACTTCAAACGGTCTCCAGTTCTTTCTCTCCTGTTCTGACTTCTGCATGTCTGATGTTTGTTTCTCTCTCACATTCCTGATTGCTTGTCTCCGCTCTGTTCTCAATCTTGTTGTATTCCATCTCTGTTGTTGCGGCCAGGTTTTATCATGCGTTGGTAGTCTCGGCCGTCTGCCATACATCAGCTGGAACGGTGACTTCCTGGTTGTTCCCTGTGCCGAGGCACGATGTGCCAGCAAGATTAATGGTAATTCTTTCTCCCAGTCACCCCCTTTAGATGCTAGCCATTCCTTTAGCGTTCGGTTATTCCTTTCCGTTAACCCATTCGTCTGTGGATGATACGGCGTTGTTCGTACTCTCTTGATACCTAACTGCTTTAGACGGGACTTGAACTCATCACTCTCGAAACAGGGACCTTGATCGGTTAATATTATCTTTGGTATCCCATGGTCAGCCACAATGTGCCGCATTACCGCTTCCGTCACCGTCCTTGCACGTTGGTCCGCCATCGGCACGGCATTTACCCATCGTGTGGCATGCTCAGTCATCACCAGCAGGTACTGGTTACCACTTGTCGTCTGTGGGAACGGTCCCATAATATCTACTGACCACAAATCACCAACTGCTGTTACTGGAATTGACTGCAATGGCGGTCGTATGCATCGATCTCCTTTCATTAGTTGACATCGCTGGCACGCTAATACATATCGTGCAACATCGTCTCTCATACCTGGCCAGTACGCACTTTGTCGCAGCAAATCAGTTGTCCGTGCAATACCTGTGTGCGCTACCTGGTGACATTCACGAATCATGTCCTGGCGCAGATCTTTTGGGATTATTGCTACCCAATTCTCGTCATCATCCCGCCAGGTCAAGGCTCCGTATCCGTTCACTCTCAGTCTCTCCTTCTGCCTCAGCAACACTGTTAATTCTTTATCTGTTCCACTCTTGTCAACATCTTCTCCCTCTTTTATCACTCTGATTACCTCCCGAAGGTTAGGGTCGGCTTTCTGATGCCGGACGAGTTCTAGGGGATCTCCCTCTAGGCCGTTAACTGCACACGCTATCTCTGGAAGTTCGGCTTCGGTGTCCGGTCTTGACAAATAATCTGCCATTACATTTTCCTCCCCTGGCACATGCCCGATGCTGAAATCATACTCCTGCAGACGTAGCATCCATCGAGCCAACTTCCCCCGAGGGTCTTTTGCTGTTTTTAACCATTGTAGGGGCTTATGATCCGTCTCGATGTGAAATCGCCGACCCAGTAGATACGGTCTCCATTTGTCTACCGCCCATACAATCGCTAAACACTCTTTTTCTACTGTGGAATACTTCTGTTCTGTCGGCGTAAGGACACGGCTGGCATACTCCACCACTCTGTCAGACTGCCTCAAGACCGCACCTATACCGTGATCGCTCGCATCAGTGGTCACTGTAAATGGCTTCTCGGGTTCCGGCAGTCTCAGCGTCATTTGGCGGTCATCTAACAGCTCTTTGATTCGGTCGAAAGTTTGTTGAGCGGTCTCTGTCCACGTAAACTTCGCATTGCTTAGCACTTTATATAGAGGTGCTGCTATATCGTTGAAGTTCTTCACGAATCTGCTGTAGAACGCCGCTCTTCCCAGGAACTGTCTTAACTTCCTTTTTGAGTTGGGAACTGCAATATTCTTTATCGTTAGAATCTTCTCCGGCAGTGGTTTTATTTCTCCATTGCCTACTTTATGCCCCAGCAACGTGACGCTTCTTTTCGCTATCTGAGACTTGTCTTTGTTAATTCGTAAACCAAACTCATCAATTCGCCTTAGAACCGCCTCCACGTGCCTCACATGTTCTGCCTCTGTACGACTATATACGACCAAATCATCGCCATAAACCTCGACATTCTCCAGGTTACTGAGCAGCAATGTCGTTAGTCTTCGAAACGTAAACGGTGCGCCCGCCAATCCAAAGGGCATTCGTTTAAATTGATACTGCTTCTCCCGTACGATAAATGCCGTTTTGCTGCGATCACTGTCTTTTATTGGTAGCTGCCAATAGCCCGACCGTAAATCTAACACTGTGAACACCGTAGCACTCTGTAGACGATCTAATGTCTCCGCTATTGTTGGCATTGCACATGGTTTTATTTCTGTCACGTTATTCCGTACTCTAAAGTCAACACAGAATCTATACTTTCCATTTGGCTTCTTTACCAAAAGTACCGGTGAGCTGTACGGGCTATCTGCTTCTCCAATTATACCTGCTTTTAACATCTCCTGTACCTGCTGGTTTATCTCAGCTTCCGTCGTGTTGTGAAGATGGTTACTCCTTCGTTCTTTATCGAAATTTCATGTTTGACTTTATTGCAAAACCCGTACGGTTCTCCGTCTCCCGTGAACAACTTCTTATATTTTGTGAGCACCTCGTTAATGTTCTGTTTCTTTCCAATGTCCTCTTTTGCTACTCTAACCTCAGCCACCTCGCTGCTTTCATGTATTGTCAGTGTGCCGTACTTTGTAATCACCTTCTTACTTCTTGTATCGATAATTGCTCCTACTTCTCTCAAGAAATCTGCTCCTAGTATTGGTCTCGACAAGTTCGTAGTCACTACAAAGGGAAACTGTATTTTCGAACTGCCGATTTTCACGATATCATTTGAGACTCCGAGGATTTTTAACACGTGGCCGCCGATGGTGTTAACAACTAATGCACTCGGCCTGATACCTCTACACCGCTCTTTGTCTATTAACGAAACTGCCGCCCCTGTATCAATCAGGCAAACTACCTCTCGCTCGTTTATCCCTACTCTCGCATAGACCGCCCCCTTATCTACTAATGCCGAAACCCCCAGTTTCGAAAGACATAAAGAACAACTTGTGTATGGTCTAAAATATTTACGTCTTCGTCTTGTTGGGCAATTCCTCTTCCAATGTCCGGTTCCTCCGCAAATGTAGCATTTATTATTTCTTTCACCCTTTATTCGTAACGCTGCCACCTCTCGTTGTAATTCTTCTATCTTCTTCACGACATCATCAGCCTGTCTCTCACACGCCACCGAGGCGACTGTTGAGTTCATCAGTTGTCTTGTTACTTTCGCCAGCTCGGTGACGTCCATTGGTTGTGCCGCGTTCACCAGTCTCAACTGTTGGCCAATCTCTGCAGGCACACTTTCAATGAATTGCGAGGCTAGCAGCTGTGCCTGCGACTCCTCATCCAAATTCGGCAGACCCCGGCGCAGCAATCTTGTCAACTCCACGGCCAGCACGAGTGGGTCGCCGTCCACCGACAGCCGCGCCTCTCGGAACTTCTGCAGCGCGTCCTGCCTATCCGCCGGGCTGTCGAACTCCAACAGCAGCCTTTCCGTCACCGCCTTCCAGTCAGCGTCCTCCACACTATCGTACACCGCTCTCGCCCTGCCTCTTAGTAGAGTCCCCAGCACCACCGCCTTCGCCTTCCGTTCCTTGACTCCGACCAGCTCCGCCACAGCCTCGAACTCCTTCAAGAAGCTCCTTACATCTCCGTCTTCAAACTCCCGAGGCCATGGTATCTTCATCCTGTGTGGAGGCAGCGACACCAATTGAGAAGACTGAGGCAGGCTCAATAGATTGTATCTGGCAAATTTACACTCTTAGTCAATTAAAAACGATAACATTACATTGAACACTCCATTTGCACACCATCTTTGAGTCCTGACTTCCAACGCTCCAGCCTTCCTCCATTCCTGCTGTTGCTTCCTTTACTTCCTGTCGGTGCTCTAAATCTTTCTTGCTTTTGCTCTATTTGCTTTCCGTTTTCCTCTTCTGACCGTAAGACATCTTCTTTCACGTCCATTCTTATACTACTTATATCGTTCGTATAAGTAGCACACAGCACAATATGACCATATAGACACGAGTCAGTGTTCCTTATATTGTACAAAGACTAGTGATTATTTTCCATCTGCTTGGTTGCTGTCATTATATCATCGATTCATCAAAGTCCACATATGGTGAATACACGAGAAATACTGAAAAGTACTGTCGAAAGAATGGAAGTCAGATAATTCTATGTTAAACTAATTGTTAGCTACAACAACTAGAGTTGCATAGTTTGCATATAGTGAACGTCATATGAATTGGGCTTTGAGTTGAAAAACTTGACAATTAACCTATCCTTAGCAGTTTGCGTACTTGTTAATGAATACTGTTGAGGAATGCAAATAGTCAAGTATTCACATGTTGATTTAAAATGAAAAATTTTCTTTTTTTTTATTGTAGATTGTACTTTCTTCTCCATGGAGAGAAAAATTGTGCAATAAAATTTTTATTGTAAGTTTCTGATGAACGACATAATTTCAAAATATGTATACATAGATTTATGTAAACCGCGAATCGTCCTCAAGCATAGACATAAATGTATCGTAAGTCATTACAAATTAGACTTCGTAGAATAATTATGATTGTCATCTAATAACCAATCATTATGGAAAAAAAATAGCAGTTAAAATTAATACAAGATTTATTTATCTGTAATGCGTGAATACTCAAAATAAACTAGTTTTTAGTCATTTATATATAGTGGACTGTGCAGAAGGATTGAGCAAACAATTTTGTAGTTTTTTGTGCACACAATAATATTTGTACATTCACGATGTATAAACTTTGAGATAAAAGCGAGCTTTTTTTCTTACTAAAGGAAGACTGACGATGATGTTCTCTCAGGTCTGTTGCCGTCGTCGTTTCACCAACTCATTGACGTACAAACAATGCTGACAGGATATACGTAAATGAATAATATTTTGTGAGTGCACAACACATTTTTTCACAAAATTATTGGAAGTAATCTATTTTTGCTTTTGTATTTAGTCTGCATTGGCATTTCTATCGACATTTTGTTGGTGCGAAGCTGTTTTTATCGTAAGTTCCTGATTAACAGTTAAACTTCAGAGTATATGTACAAATTAATATATATATATATATATATATATATATATATATATATATATCACTCTCTGTACATCTTGAATTGTGTATTATCTTATAATGATCGAACAAATCTGCGATTGCTCATTTGCAAGGTTTGAATCATGGTTAAGTGATAGTCATTGTACACCTACTCCATCTGTCAATATCCTTTAATTTCGTCAAATCAATATGATATGCCTTATTTGTTTATTTATTGTAAAACTAAAGATAACTGTTTTTGCAATTACAGTGAATCGCCTTGACAGTTTATTATATGTTGAAGTATATGA